AGACCTTCTCTCGTTTCTCAAGGTACGGAGAGAAATAATTTCCCCAAAATAGTGTGCCAACAGTTGCAATAGGTGGGAATGCCAATCTAGGAGCAGAGGACATGATGGTGAACGTGTTTCTTGTTGTTGTTGTTGTTGTCGTAGTCTCATCATCAAAGTCATCAACGGCTTCAGTTTCGAGGCATAAATCAGGTGCGTGTTCTCCGACGAAGCAACCAGCTTCAACGAAGTTATCAACACAGACAAAAACAGACACAAAGAAACCAGCCACTCCGACTCCAGTCACTCCTGCACAGCCCAGCCCTGCAACTGAGCCTGCGCAGAAGCCAAGTGGACCACCTAACAAGCCTTTCTTCCAGGCCCGACTTGGATTGGCGCGAGTTTTAATGCGCAAAGGCGGCGAAAGTATCAGTGAAGCCCACAAACTGTACGAAGAAGTGATAACAATGGCGCCTGCTGTCCATGATGCATACATCGAATTAGCTGACTCCTTGGTCAAGGCAGACCCAATGAAGGCTGTGGACGTTTATAGCAAGTACCCCTTCCAGGTGAGAATTACGCAGTTATTATGTTTTATTATATATTTGCTCCAAGTGATTTATTGCTGTTGTTCATGGCACCATGTTAACACTGTTTCTTATAATGGTCTTTCAAATGTCTCCTGTTAGTAAATATAGTAACGTGCTGTGGTGTCCTTATTTTTCGAGTCATGTTGGTTTTGGCTTGAAAAACTGGACGTTCGTAAACTGGGGTTGAATCCATAGCACCTGCAATGCGTGCCTTAGGAAGAGAAGTCAATCGATGGTTTAAAAAACCTAGTTTTTCACACTAACACTTACACCATGGTTCGTACAATCTTGGAATGGTCTTGAATTTTACTAGTCGTCTTGAAATGTCCTTAAATTCAGTCAAGGTCCTCGAAAAGTGCTTGATTTCTTTATTAGGTAGTGAAAAGTCCTTGAAATTCACTACCCTGTCTACCAAACCATCCTTTTCTGTAAAATAAGATTAATTTGGCGAGGAAACTTTGGCTCATCCTCGGTGTAAGAACTTGTAAAACTCACGGGTAACGTAAAACATATTTGTGCTTGAACAATATTTTATTTCTAGTTATATATTCCAAATGTTATTCTGTACCTCAGATGCAATTGCAAGTCATACCCAGTCATTTTTGCAAAGTGTTGTTGCGGAAAGTAGTATAAAATATAGTCCTTGAAAACTGTAATTTGTCCTTGAAAAATCATTGAAAAGTCCTTGAAATTTGTTTGTCTGAAGTTGTACGAACCATGTTAAACATAAGTAAACGTGTTAAAGTCATTTACGCAGTCCTGAACAAACACCTCTAACGGTTTAGATCTTGGCTCTTTTGAGGCCGTTTGAGGCCCAGTGTGCTACAGCTGCATAGTGGTTATAGCGAAAATTGACACTTTGTGAAAGTTGACATTTTCTTCACACCATTCCTGAAACGTGTTCTAGAGGTAGAATTTGAAACATTTTGCTGGTTTAACGCCCTTGGTGGAACATGCGAAAGACTGGCGAAATGTGTTGTCTTAAAATTTTCACTAGCAGCATTTTCCCATCAGACTTAAGTATCTTACTAGACACATAGTGCTTCTGTGGAGTTGTAATGTCCTAGTGTATGTCCTAGCCAACTTGATTAAGGAAAGGTGACTTTACCAATTTTAACTGGTAAACCGTTTTAACTGCTTTAAAAAGCGGTTTTAAAAAAGGAGGTGATTACCAGTTTGACAAATCCGCGTGCTTCCAAGAATCGGAATCTCTAAGAGTCATTTACGCTGCTGCACTGAAAATGTCAAAGGCCCCAATTCCGATAGGAGGGCGAGGCCGTGAATACTTTGAATTTTGGATCTTTTGGCCCGGTTCGAGCCTTGCAATCGCGTTGTCTCAAGAATTTCTTTCTCCACCATGTCTCCCTTTACCCAGGTGTATAAATAGGCACCAGCGACATACCGCTCGGGGGTAACCCTGCGATGGACTAACATCCCATCCATGGGGAGTAGCAATGCTCCTAATCGCTCCATGCTAGAGAAACCGGGGTAAGCGCCGGCGTGTGGGTCGCATGGCTCGTGTTCGCGTTTACCTTACCTTCTCCCCACCTCCACTGACAAACACAGTTGTTACTCCCTCCCTTCTTTTGACCCAAAACACAATTATTGCCCAAGGCACAAACTACATCATTGTGGTTATTATAGGAGCCGTTAACATTTGACGATGCTTACATCCACGGTGAAATGGTTCGCTTGTTAATGAAGAACGAAAAGTATGATGATCCTCGGCTGGGACCCAGCATGATTTCACTCGGAAAGGTGATGGGGCTCACGGTATTGGAGAAATACGTGGATACCTTAGACAAGACCTTCAAGTACAGCAAATTGCTCATGCAAATCTATGCTGGCGTTCATGGAAAGAGTCCAGATGATCCGGATTTACAGCAGTTTTTCAAGTTCAAGTGCTGGGTTTAAGGTGCATTGTGCAGTGCACGTTGCAATGGTAGGATATCCAATATCCAAGTAACATAATAAAGACAACACAAGACTGTGTTTGAGGAAAGTGGCATAGTTACATGATCCAGTCTTGTCAGCAACGTCTTGACTGTTTGGTTTTAATCATTTACATGTAAATGTCTGACCCCTTTTCGCAACGTCAATTGGCGAAGTGCTCAATTGGTTTTATACAGTTTTTAGTGCATATGTAATGGCCATCAGTGTGCGGGCTTCAGCGGTTCATTTGTGTTGTGACAAGTACCTTTTGTAGTTCTCTTTTGGTTGTTGTTGGATATTGTTTCATTTAAGACAAATCTCGATCCTACCCCATCCTTCCATAAGCAAATATTACACATGTTTTATAATTTGACTTAAAAGACTCGATTGGCTTTCTTACAGTTAGCCTGTCCTAGGCAGACTATGGGGAAGGTGCAAAGAGAGGCAAGCAGGAAAAACAGTAGCTTGATTAAACAGCCGACATTTTGCGACGCCATCAACGGTTTCTCCGCGAAATGAGGTTTGAGGAATGAGCACAGAAATTCCATACTGATGACGGTCATTACCCAGGGATCTGAGTAGTGTCGCGTCATCACTATAGAATTTCTGCGCGCGTTGTTCAGACGTCATTTCTCAAGCAAACGGTTGGTGGCCTCGCGAATTGCCGGCTCTTTTCTCAGGCTAGACAAAAAGAAAAAGAAAGAAAAGAAAATACCTACAGAGAGTTAGGGATAGAGGGCAAGGAGAGTTCTCTCCTTTCTTCCTCTCCATCTCTTCCGCTTTTTTCTCCCTGCTCTCCGTTTCGCGCCTCTCCCTACTATCTGATCGCCTGGAAGAGGCTATCTTGAAATGCCTTAATTTCAACCGTAAATCGCTACTAAGCGTACAGTTTCATACCGTTTCTATCTCGCAAACGAGCTCATACGTACAAATCTACAGGTTTAGTTAACTATAACATAGCTGGCTTTTCTTCAGTACCAAACACTTAACTGGTTAATTTTTTTAACCCTAGAATAACATTACAGAAAGTTCTGGTTGTTGTTAATTAGTTTTTATTTATTTATTTAGGTATTGTGAAAGTATTTGTTATATTAAGCTTTCGCTTAATTTGGCCAAAAGGCTTGGTAACTTATTGAATAAATGTTATATTTCTTCCATCAGTGTTCAAAATAATAAATATATTTGTTAGTCTAACCAGCATTACCCTGCCTTTCGCACGGGTTGCATGTCTAGAAGAATATACTCTTAAATAGAAAAAAACGGAGGTCTTTCCGTTCACTAAAGGCCTTTGGCAGCGTTTGACCTTTCTGGAAACTTTTTTGGCCGAAAAGCTCATGAGCTCCTGGTGGTCACCTATCGTTTCTATGGTAAGACAACTTTTACGATTTCACTAGATCAAATTAGCTTTTTGTTTACAAGACAAATTTATGTAAACATGGTTATGTATATTGCTCCCACTCAGATAACTCGGTAAATCTGACGTAATATTTTTTCGCTTTAGGGTTTGATAAACCTGTCGCAAAAGGTAATATCTTAAAATGGAACTTAATGAGGTAGCTTACAGTTAAAAACTTTAAATTAAACTTCAACTTTGCCCTTTGGGAATTCTCAAGTACGCAGCGAGAAAGAGCTTCTTATGTTTGAGGGTGAAAAAAAAAGCATCGAAATGCTTGCATTTTTCGTTTAACGAACATATTTTAATAAACATTAGGCAACTTACGTCCTTGTGCAGGTGCTATAAAAATAAAAATGAAAAATCCTCTGTTTATATCTTCCTCGAAAGAAAAGCACATCTCCTATGCATCTCATTTTCTCAAGAAAACGTGTCAAAATTCTCACCAGCATCAGGAGCTGTTGAGCAAGTTGCTAGTTGCTATTATCTCCCGTTTTGTTCCACGTTTTATCACAGCAGTTTGTTAAGGCCTCTTTGTGGCGAGGAATTGATCTAATAGAGTGGTGTTTTACCGGGGGTCGTGAAACCAAAACAAAAGTGGTTGATTTCAGTTCATTGATCGCGAGAACCGTAAAACGAAAATAATTACTTGGGCCAATCACTATACGAGCAGGCAGTTAAGTAAACGAATCGTCTCTCAAGGCAAGTGCTTTAAGCTGACGCACGGCCAAGGGCAGGAAAACGCTTCCTGGTAGGGCAAGATTGGTTGAGAAAAAGTCGCGAAAATGTTTGAGCAATGCAAAGCCCAAACAATTACTAAATTGCTTCCAAAACGATCTTATCTGTTATACCTTTGAATCTTTTGAGTGATTTTCAATTGGATGATGCCCCTAAACCGAAACCACACTGATCGGAACGCCAAAACTCAAACAAAGCCGATATGGGAGTAATTTAAGATTTTTGTGCTATTTTCAGTTAGGACGACGAAAGATTTTGTTACCAGTTACTATACAAAGGAAAAATCGTTGGACATTCAACTGAGAACCCTGTAAGGAAAAAAATTTTAGGAAAAGTTGATCATCTCTCGAAATTTTTAAAAAGAGAGCCTATTTTGATGATTTCGTCTTTTTGCTATTTTGCAGCTTCCTTAAAATAGTTTTAATCTTTTTCTTGTTCTTTCCCTTTCCGTTATCTTCATCTTGATCCTGCTGTGCAACTTTTTCGCTGTTGTGTTCATTTTCGTCTCGGTCATTCTGTTCACTTGGAAGGCTGCCTTCACTTGTGAAGGATAACGGACTTGCTAGCCTTGACAGCGGATCTAGTGCTCTTGTACCAACCGAGCTGTTCCCACTGATTGTGTCTGCTGTTTTAGAAAGCGAAAATTGCTTTTACCAAGCTTTCAAATTACAAGAATCTGACCTACACCGTTCTTTTAAATCCTTTTTTTTTTCTCTGTGGAATATTACAAAGGAATAAAAAGGCTCTTGGGAAATCATATGTGTTCGATGCGCCGAGAAACTTACCAGATGAAGTCAATGCTTTGCCAATGCTCCCCCCATCTGAACGTTGATCATTTAGCTCTGCAGACAGGTTCAAGGGTAGCAATTCCTGTCAGAAGAAAGAAGATGAAGGAGGAGGATGAATAGAGAAAGAATGACCTTAGCTGAAACATTTTTTTAAATGATTGAAGTCCACTAAAGTGCTTTGGAGATCTGATCAATAGATCCTTAAAGAGGCCTTGTCTCGTGAGCAAGCGAAAACAAAATTACCGTGTTTTCTAGATTAAACACTAGGCCTCGAATTAATAGAGGGAGTTAAAAAACCCTTCAGACGACGCGTGACTCTGGCCCTGTTGGCTGCGAAGGAGACTACCGGTAGTTTGTGGTATGAAAACCCGTAAGATGCAAGGGAAAGATACAAAGGATACTTCTGGGCTTTAAAGATTAGCACGCTCGACGAAACTACAGATTCAAACAAACGCTGGGTCCACCACGTCCAGTCTGGGGTGATTAATTGAATTGGTGTCATAGGCTATCTGACTTAAGCCCTGGTTGTTCGAGGTCGGCGAGATGGGATGAAATATGGACCTCGCTGACGTCTGATTTCACCTCTCTGGTTCTTCCGCAATTAAGCTAGTGCAAAACTGGCACTGTTTCGTTTTATTTGTTACAATACCTTACGAAGAAATCCAATTCAGACTGTCCAACAATTGACTGACTATTTTAAGTGTATTACATGACAAACGTGAAGGTGAAGGTGTGTCCTGGGTGGACGAGTGAATTCCTAATTATTACCTCATAGCATCGTTTTTGGTTAGACCTATACCTTGACCAATTTCTTCAGCAAACCGTGAAATGAATCAGTCCAGTTCTTATTCAATGACAGGATGTCACTGTTTCATCTGGGAATATTCTATTCCTAATGTCTTTTACATTATCCAGCTCTCCAACTTTCGTTACGCTGACTTAATTTGTTTTTTGATACAACAGTGAAGCCCCGCTTTACGGACACCCGCTTAATACGAACACCTCAATATTACGGACAGTTTGCTTTGTCCCTGGGGAAAGAAAGTCCATATGTTCTCTAAATTCAACCCGCATAATACGGAGACTTTCTATAGTCCCCTCGGTGTCCGTATAAACGGGATTTGACTGTACTAACAATGTGAAGTCCTCTTACCGGCGTTTGGGTCCGCTCAGTGTGTTTTTTGTGCTGGCTAAAAGCAATGTCAGTGGACGCTCTCTGCTGGAGATAGATGGGGTCTTGTCTTGCCGGTCGTTCCTGTAAACCTCTGCGAGATACGCTCCTAAGATCCCCATTGGATAATGATCCCCACAAGGGTAACTCTTGTGACACTGACTCATCGCTTAAAACTCCTTTGAGGCTGCGTATTTCCTCCCTTAGCTTCCCAATTTCTAGTTGTAGCCTCCTGTTTTCACTCTGTAGGTTTACTAGTTCTTTCATGGTTCTGTAACTCTCTGCCTTAATGCTTGACAGATCAGACTTTAATCGTTTATTTTCTGATTTAGTCGAGGACATATTGCGCTCGAATTTAGCCTTTTCTTTTTCGAGTCTTGACATTTCTTCTTGCATGGCCAGAGCTTCTTGTTGTAATCTGTTATTGTCATCTTTTATACTTGATACCTCCTTTTCCATCCTTTTTACAGATAATGTCCTCTCACACATTTTAGTTTTGAGGTGATTATTTCTGCTCAGTAACTTTTGCACTTGACTCTGAAGATCCGAATTGTGCCTCTTGATAATTGACAACTCATTCTTGACAAGAACATTGCTGCATTTGGTCTCTGCGAGTTCTTTCTGCATCTTTTGTAGCACCCTTATTTCGGGGCCTATATTGGTGCTATCTTCTGACGAAATTTGATCAGAGGATATACTCATGTCGAGATCCGTTGCGGACACAAGCGAGCTACTTGTGTTGTTAACCTCCATGCTGGAATCATTATCATCAGAATCGCGCGTTAGAACATCTTCAGAGGCATCATACATTGGATCAAAGCTGGCATATTTTCTGGAATTGTTGTTTAGCCTTTTCCTCTGAGGCAGCCTGTTTATCATAGGAGTAGCGTGTTTTAGGGATTTTTCGGTGAGTACTCTTTCATAGTCAGTCAGCAATGGGGGAGTTCTACCATTTCTTGCATCATGACTTGACCTCAAGGATTGATGGCTATTCTCAGCTGTCAAAGGACCTCGATCCCTTTTTATGCTTTTCTCTTCGTCAAGCGAATTTCCCACGTGGTCTATTGACAGTCCTGTTTTCTTCTGGCGAGAAACAATTGACGGACGTGGGAACTGATATGTGTTTTCCCCTGCCTTGCCTACGGCTTGACGTGGCGTAACAGGGCTGACAGCTCTTCCTTGACCGTTTGGAGATGGTGGAGAATTAGTTGAAGGCAACTGTATCAATTTTTCACCAAGAGATAACGTTAAGTTACCTTTTGAGGTAAACGGCTTTGTTGATGTCTCAGCTTCTTTTCTTTTCTCAGATTGTGTTCCTTCGCCGTCACTTTCATCTTCTGTTGTTCTTGGGGAGAACTGGGTGCAGTTGTCAGTGATTTCCATAATCTTAAAGCTCTTTAGCATGTTGTTCTCAGCTTGAAGTGCCGAGAGCTGTGCCGTCATTTGAGAGTTCTCATCAAGCACGCATGACAGCACTGTTTCCAGTTTGGTGTATCTTTCAGTGATATCATGGAGTTGTGTCTCCAACCTGAGTTTTGACGCATCTGTGTCCTCGGAACTTACGCGAAACAGCTCTCGCTCCATCGCCTCTTTGGTTTCCATGGCGTCTGATAATTCAATCTCAAGTCTTGCATTTTGGCTTTCAAGGTTCTTTTTAGCTTCTTCGATCTCATTTTTTTCTTTTTTTAAATCTCTTAGGTTTTGCTGAAGCTCTTCAAGTTCCTCGTCGTTTAGTATTTGTTCCTTCAAAATCGCTTCATTCTGTGTTTGAAGCACAGCTGTTTTTGCCCGAAGTGACTCGCATTCACTAACCAGTGAGCTGATTTCCCTTTTCATGCATAGCTTTTCTTCCATTAGCGAGCCAATTTCAAGCTGGTTTTTCTCGTGTTCCTCAGCACGTTGTGCCAGCTCTGACTTTAAACTGGAGATATTCCACTCTAATTCACGTCTTGATTTTGAAATATCAGTATCAGTGTTGGTGTCAGGAATTTCCATGTCATTGGAGCTTTTCTCTTCCATTTCCATTGGCTTGCTGCTTAAGGTGTCGCTGGGTGCATCATCAGATATTTGCTGGTCAGTTAGCAATAAATTACTTGGAGCTTCGAGGCTGGACGTTTCACCCGGTTCCAGGACAACCGTAGTGTAAGACGCCCTCGGATACGGATTTTCCATGATCGTGAATTCTGTTTCCGAAGGTAAATTTATCTCCAATGTCTTTTCGTTCATTTCTTGTAAAGTATTTTTGCAACCAACTGGACCCTCTGGCTTCATCTCTCCGCAACGTTCCTTGTCCACGGAATGCAGAAAATTCTCGTTTTCTTCGTCTGGAGTGCTCTGATCGTTTGGCGAGTCACATTCAAAGTCTTCAATGCGAAGACTGAATGTTGTAGTGTGTACGCTTCTACTTATGCCAATATCATCGAACTGCGACACGATGATTATTGGAATAGGAAGTCCCTGGTAATAAATTGCTTCTTCTAGCATCTTTGGTCCTGTGCAATTTGATAGTGTCCTCTCCGCAGTTTTTTCTGGGTGGTCGTAATTACCTTCTGGGATATCGGAACGGCTGATGCTTTGAACACCATAGATGTTGCTCTCGACGGCATTGGTGTTGTTTGAGACATCCTCAGTTATGTTCTGGTAACTGTTTTCTTTACCGTTATCAATACCTTCAGCATTTTCTGAATGGCTAGCGTTGTCTCCATGGCTATCGTTTGCCACTGTTTTGTCTTCAAGAAGGTTATTTTCCCATTTATAGAAAGAAGTGATGGTTTGAACGCACCGACTTTGAAAGCTTTGCGTGCTTGGATTTGTACTTACAGAGTTCCTTTTCGGTTCCTCTGCTTTTACCAGCTGTAAGCTGCTGTATTGCGCTTCATTCGCATCTTTCCATTTTTTCACTTCCTCTGTAAGGTCCTCGTTTCTGTCTTGTAAGTCTTTAATTTCAGCTCTACAGGAGTGTAACTGTTTTTCCAGATCGATCATTTGTTGAAGTTGGTTGTGACACGTTTCAAGCTCACGTTTCAACTTGTTTTTGATCTCTGTTTGGGAAAGTAAATCTTTCTCAAGTTCCGTTATCAGGTTTTCAGCTTCTTTACCCTTTCTTCGAATATCTTCAAAGTCAGACTCGATCTGCTGCAATTCTCGCAGTTTTTCCTTAGCTTTCCGACAATCAGTACTTGTGTTTTCGACTTCTTTTAACAAGCTTTCTTTTTCTTGGCTATAGGATGACAGTAAAAGTATCATCTCTTGTTCCTGTTTCAGACAGGACTCTTTGTTATGCCTTAGCTCATTCTCCGTCCAGTTTTTTTGCTTATTTGCTTCCTCTAATTCCTTAAGTAAGCTCTCTCTTTCTTGTTTGAGCAATGCATTTTCTTGTGCGAGATTCTCGAGACACTTGCTGTCATCATGTTCTACCAGTTGCTCCCTTCCAAATTCAAATTGAGTTGTCTTTAATTGGCAGACATCTTTAAAAGTTGCCTGTTCTTCCTCTGTCGATTCTTCGCTTAAGGCTTCATGGCCTTTCTGTTCTAGGGCATTTTCCACATCATCCTTATCAGTTTTGAAGCATTGATTTTCTTGCACCAGTTCTTCCGTTTCCTTTTGTGGTCCTATTTGATCAGCAACATCAGGCTGCACTGATTGTGGTTCGCATCCGTGATTACCAGGCAAGATGAACTGCGGAACTTCTCTGGTAAGTCCGGTGGTGGTTTCCTTGTCAACTAGAGTACTTTCACGTTGTGGTTGTTCAACCTCGATCCGGGATGGTTTTATCAGACAGATTTGATTATTCGCCGTGGTTAATTTTTCTACCTCCATTACTAAGAGTTGCAGATCTTCCTGTTGCTTGGGGACGTTTTCCCAACTTTCCTGTTGAAGTTTCAGCTTAGCCATTTCAACTAGCTTCTCTTTTTCCCTTCTTGATTCTTCAACGTCAGGCTGCAATGGGTTTGACGGGCACTCACTGTTACTCTTTGCTGATTTCAACGCTTCGTGCAAGCTGGTTTCACAGTCTGCATTCTCGCTTTTACCCTGGTCTTTTGTCGAGGGCTCTGTGGCTTTGTCTTGTTCAAATTCTGACTCACTGTCGCTGGATATTAGCACATTTTGCTTCAAGTCCACGGCAGATAAGTGCGCTGAGTTCTTTTTCTCCAGTTCATGTACTTTCTCACGAAGAATTTCAAGGACATTTTCTTTCTCGCCAACTTTGGCCTTTAACATCGCATTTTCCTTCATCGCCTTAGCAAAAGCTTGCTCTAGTTGCATCTGTGTTCTGGCGAAATGCGTAGCCTTCCTCTCCAGTACCAATTTCTCCTTTGCCATCAACGAGTACCCTGTCTGCATGTCGATAGTTAAAGGTGTGCTTGCACTTTCGTTTTCAGGTTTTGCATTTGCTTTGTTGTGGTCTTTTAAGATAGAAGGCGTTACAGTGTTAAGCGTTTCCACGATCTCATGTTCGGATTGAAGTTCCGTGGTTTGAGTACCCATAGTGGCACGAGGTGCTGGCGTGACTGCACCATTACTTTTTTCTTTTAAACTGTTGAGTTTTTCTTCTAATTGGATCTTCTCGTTTTCCAGAAGTTCAATTTTAGTTTGCAAGTTCTTTGCCGTTTCCTCGGCTGTTTTGCTTTGTACAGATGTAGCCTCTTTGCTGTCTTTTAATGCAATCGGTTCCCCTTTGATCTTTGCCTTCGGCTTATTTTCGGCGTTGTTTGTTTTCTTCTTGCCATCCTTCCGTCGCAGTTCTTCATTTCGTTGTTCCAGGCTCTTAATTCTACCTTTCACAGCCTTGTTCTCCTTCCTCAGAGACTCGTTCGCCAATTCAAGTTCTTTGATCTTTTCCCGAGATGATGCGAGTTCACTCTCAAGATGTTTCTGCATCTTCTGAAGCTTCTCAACTTGATTTTGGAGTGATACGTTACTCTTTTCTGATGAATCTTTACTAATATTCCTGCTTTGCTCTTTAAAAGTGAGCAGCTCTCTACCCAGCTCCTCTATTTCCGTTTGCAGTTTCCTGTTGCAATCCTTAAGGCGTTCAAGTTTTTCTTTAAGGGTAGCGTTTTCTGACTCCAGCGATTCCCTGCTACGTTGGTGATCTGTCATGGCTTTACTCGTGTTTTGTATTATCTCCACCTCATGCGTCAACCGCTCGTTTTCTTTGTGAAAGCAATGAAGCTCTTTTTGCAAGCTTTCCAGTGCCTTGGTCTTTACCTCTAGCTCTTGTATTAATTTATGCGAGTCATCGCACTCTGTTTCAAGTCTCTGATTTAAAGCACGGAGCTCTTGAAGCTCCTTCTGTAGCTGATCATGTCTTTCCTCTAAATCTTTTCTTCTCTCTTCCTGTGTTTGCGTATTCTCCGATGCGTATTTGATGACTTCGAGTTTCTGCTTTAGCTTACTGCATTCTTCTTGGACTCTGGTTAGTTCCTTTTCCAGAAGCCTTTTCTCTTTTTCCAGTAATACTGTATGTTTTTCAATTTCTAATGTATCAAATGTGGTTCTTTCGCCCTGAGACTTGTTTTCAGTTTGGTAGTTAACTATTGCCTCATCTTCCTTTCCTTTACATTGACCACAATTATCTGTTGTGGTAATTGTAATAGTTTCATGGCTTTCCTTAACATGTTTCACTTCCTCCAGTGGATTTTTCATCTGGCTGTGGTCGGTGGTGATGTATACTTCTTCGCGATGACACGGTGATTGTTCCTGATCGTCTTTATTTCGCTTATTGCAACCTACAAAGTTTTCCATACCAGAATCGCCGTGCGTCATCTTTTCATCTTGGTTCTTTTCGTTCTGTCTCGTCTCGCTCCCGGCTTTCGACTCCTCAAATTCTACTTCTAACTTTCGAATCTGTGTTTTTACGTTTTCTATTTCTATCGTTAGTTGGTCTTTCTCTTTTTCTAATTTTGCACTGTTCTTTTCGTTCTCTCTTCTTTCCTCGTGCAAGGTATCCAGCTCTTGACGCAAAAAGTTGTTCTCTTTGAGAGCATCTTCTAAACGCTTCTCCAAGATCTCTTTGCAAACACTTGCTTCGTGTAGGTGAAAACTTTCTTGTCGCTTCTGATTCTTCAGCATGTTGATCTCTTCCTTAATCGTTTCACAAGAACATCGCATCTCCACGAGACGTACTTCCAAATTTGCCGCTTTCTCAATATTTTCATTTAATTGCGAATTCAAGAGATTTCTTTCGGACTCACTGTGATCAAGGTCATTCTTAAGACGTTCACAGTCTTTGTTAGCACTTGTTAATTCAAATTCAAGCTTCAATTTTTCGCTCGTAACTTTCAAGAGATCCTCTTCGAGTTTTCGCTTTATGACCTCGTCGTCATCGCTCGTTACCCTGCGATAAACGTCTTTCATGGGTTCTAGTTGCAGTGGATTCGTTAGGCCACCGCTGGTGCTTTGTTGCAGAATTTTAACATCTCTTTGAGCTCTCAACGCTTTATTATCACTTTTCAACTGGGTAATCTCCTGTTTGGCGTCATCTAGTGACCTCATTAGAACAATTTTAGCCATTTCATTTCTTGATAGTTCTTCTGCTTGTATATTCAATTGCCCATTGTCAGCTTCTAGCTCTGTAATTCTCTCCGTTAGACCTGAAACATCTTTCTTCGCACTTAATACCACTTTTTCTGTTTGGTCTGTGGCAGGTACGCTTTGTATCAAATTTGTGGTTTCTCTAGCCACTCCGTCCGCACCTTTTTCTTGGTCGGTGAGAGCCTCCTGATATTGCTGTCGTAAGATTTCATATTCTCTGGTCAGCTCAGCATGTTTTTCTTCCAGTAACTTGTATTCGTCATTCGCATTATCAGGGTATTCTTTAATCTCCTTAATCGTATCGTCCTTGTCTGAAGGAGTTTTACAGTCCTCTTCTGGTAACTCCTTTTTCTGGTCTATCAATAATACCTTAGCTTCTTTAGCTTGTAGTTTGTCTATGAGATCATGAGCACTTTCTAGGTCTTGCCTGTACATTGTAAGAACGTGTTCACTTTCTGATAGTTGCTGTTGAAGGTACCCATTCTCGAGCTTCAGTAGCTGATATTCGTGTTCTAGTTGCTTGCTCTCGTCTGCAGGCGATTCAGCTATGGATGAAGATGTGTCCCCTATTTCATCCTCACTTGTATGTGTGATGGTGTAAAATTTCTTACTAGGAGTTTTGTTAAACGTTTTCTTCCCCTTGATTAACTCTGGCTTCTGTGTATTGTTGTACGATTCCTTCCCAAAGTTCAGACTGTCTTCCCTGAAGATGGCAGTCGCTCCTTCAGTGTGGCTATTTTGTGTAACTGTGGCGAGTTCTGTTTCCACTTCAACCACACGAGAACTTACTTTAGCTAGTTCTTGCCTGAGACTCTGTTCCATGCTCTTTACCTTCGAGTATTCATTTTCTAACGCTTCCTGGTATTCCGCCATGCCTGCCAACTCTTTCTGCAAATTACAATTCAGTCTTTTCTGTTCAGACACCTCGGATTCCAACAACTGAGTATTTTGTATTTTGAGAGTTTCGAGTTCATGAAGAGCCTTTTCGCACTCTTTCTCAACCTGAACTCGTTCTTGGTTGAGGCGTTTACATTCCTTGGACGCAACTTCATGTTTGCTTTTACAAGAAGATAAATCAGATTCCATCTTAGAAATCTCCATTTCGAGCATTTTGTTGTCTTTTTCTAGTCTCGTGCTCATGTACGAAATGGCTTCAATGTCCTTCTCGAGACGCGATGACTTGTCTTTGTACTTCTGAAGTTCGTCCACAATTTTCAAGTTGTTGTTTCGCATATCAACAATTTCACCTTCCAACTTCATCTTCTCTTTTTTAAGAATGGCGAATTCGTTTTTGAGTCGGCTGCATGCATCCTCGCTTGTTCTTAAGGCAGCTGTCATCCTTGCTGATTTTTCTTCTTGGAATTTTTGTGACTTTTCCAGTCGAGCTTTTTCCTGTGTCGCTTTATCTAGTTTAACTTTCAGTTCAGCAGTTTCTTCCAGGAGGCCAACCACTTCCATCTCGTTTGATGTGAACTGAGTTTGAGGAGGATTTCGAAGGTCAATTTTGCCGACCTTTGTTTTCCCAGGAGACTTCAGTGAAGACTTTGTCGTTATCTTGGTTGGCGAGGGAGGTGGATTGTCGCTTCTATAACCTTGAGACGTTTTCAGTGCAGCACTAAGAGCATTGTTTTCTCTCACCAACACCCTCTCTAATTCTGATCGTAAAGCCTTTATCTTTTCATCGAGTATATCCCTCTGGGTTTTGACATTGAAGTACTCTTCTCGAACCTGTTCACAATTTTCCTTCTCTTCTACCAGCTGGTTTTCCAGATTGGTTATGGTTTCTTGTGCCTCTGCTAACTGTCCTTTCTTGTGATCGAGCTCTTCTTCCAAATCTTCGCTACTCTCTTGAGCTTCCGCTAATTCTTGTTCGGTTTTGTGCAACTTTCTCTTTAACTCTTGTATTTGTTTCACAAGTGCTTCCCGTGACTTGCTTTTCAAGTCTTCGTTGTTATCGTTTGCCATAATCGCTTTTTGCCTTGGACCTAAAGCGGTAGCATTCAGCTTCTTTCCACTCTTACTTGGTGATGTCGCTTCGCTTGATTTCTCTTTGGCTGGGCTTGTGCAAGGTGAGCGGAGACTTCGTGCAAGTTTCGTAATAATGATCTCTTCATCGCTGTCGTCTATGTTCGCGTCGGAAAACGTGGGTTCCTGATCATCAGTTAATTCATCGTCACTAGCTGCCTCTATGCCAGGTTGAGGCATAAAGGGGTAAATCTTGGATATGTTCTCCATACATGTTTTCAAGAACGCTTCTCTGGACTCATGTCCATCGCTCATCTGAGAACTGTTTTCACTGTCGTTACTTTCATGTGAAACTTCCATAACGTCAGAGAGCTCTGGGTAAGTTCTTACCACCTCTTTAGGTGATTCAACGACGACCTTTCCGTCGTCCCCATCAATGGATTGCTGTAAATTCTCTTGGCTCTGGGACCTTTTGACATCATTTTCCAAGTTTGATTTTTCCAGTTTAAGGTGGAACAATTCAGATCGTAGTTTCGTGACGTGATGCTTCATTCCGAACAGTTCTTCTTCGACCTTAGTCTTCTCTTCCATTGTGGAGAAGAGCTCTGTTTCAAGCTTGCTGGTGTCCTCGTGTACTTCGCTGATTTCCTTTTCAAGTTCTGTTTTACTGTGTTTGAGATTTCGAAGTTTTTCTCGTCTTGGTGATATCGATTCCTTTGGTTTTTTTTCAGTCTCTTGACCTGTGAAGGCGCCTTTTCTGTTTCCGGTACTCGTCGATATTTCAATATCCCCCTTAGCGCCAGACTTTTCGTTGTATGATTTATTTGGATTAAGTGCGTCTTCTTGCGCAATACTTTGGTTTGGGTCGGTGGGATTGTGTCGCCTTCCTTCGTTAATTTCACAGGCTTGTCGTAGATCTACAAGCTCTATAACAAGCAGGCATGCCAGTAGTGTTTTGTCAATGATCACAAACCGAAGACAGTTCTCCAGAACAGAGTTTAAATTTTCAGAGTTTGCCCACAAATCCGCGTCAGTTAAACCTGCAAGGAAAAGTATGGTTATTAAAAAAAGTATGGTTATGGAGAGTAACTTTTAGTTTTAAGTGAGATTCGATTTTGTCACTCATGAAAGCGCATATGACATTTTCCAAGAACATTGTGAACAAACAATGAACAACACACGCAATGATAAGTGTGCCGCAGAGCTGCAATGCGCTGAATTCCTTTTGCTGGACTTACTATTGCGTATTACATGATCAAAAAAGTTTACACTTAAGCCTACGATAACCCATGCAATTGCATTAAAAATAAGTAAAGAAGTGAATATACCAATAAACAGTAAGATTAGGTTTATCACTAGCCCAATATATCCAAGTCCAAACAGATGTTTATTCTTACTTGGCATGTTATTTCGTCGAAACATGATCAATCTGGTGAGCTTCTTCCTCAACTCGTTCCACTGCAACGTTTCCGCCAAAGATTCTATAAAAGGCATTGAAGCATGCAATTAAGTGCCGCGATGTTACGAGATTTTGTTAAGTTAAGGGGATAAGTAACATGGAGAAAAGGTTGAATCAAAGGGCTTCTTCAAAATATATTAGCTGTTTCGATCAAATTTGTTCATTCTTTTTGTGTAAAGCGTAGTTATTAAAAGTTTTCACAAGGTGTAAATTAATTACTGGGCTGCCTCAAGGCACGCCCAGTTATAACTCCTCTTCCGTTCAGTCGTCTCCGCAACATTCGGGCACTTTCATACGGGCACTGTTAATTGTTCACCCAGGCCAGTTTAACCCAGAAAGGGGTGTGTGTTTCGACAAAGTATGTTTTCCCAGTTCAGCATTTCACTTTTGCAGCTTCTATTTAAAGATAAAAAAGAAGACTCGGACGACGGATTTACACTTCGAGAATTCCGGACACAGGTTTATCTCTTAGCCTGCGAAGGTGGCGGTTTCAGTTTGGCGAGAGGGCAAATGAGCAGTAAGAGAAAAAGCAAAGCGTTTTGAGAAAGGCAAGTCACTTACTGGTGCAGTAACTTTGCTTCCTATAGGTTGTCAGAGTTTTTGCTATTGTTTGTATCTGTATCTTACTAAGCTTTTATCTGAATTAAATTTGCGCATGACTTTGTTTTGCTAATCTCCCATTCAAGTTCGCTGGCTTTAAGTTTTTCGCTATACAAACCTTTTGATGAAGGTGTAAACTAAATCGATCGAAAGTGGGATCTTGAAAAACCTATATAAATCGATTTCACTCGAAACTTCACGTGACATAAGCTTACACATGTATTTTACTGAAAGTGTTTTGAATTCGTACACTGTAAATCTGACGGATAAGTACAGTATTATATGAATGAACCGTAGGGCTTCAATTTAAGTTGTTGCAATCATCACTATCACCCAGGCTAGATGTAAACGAAGTCACGAGCTATTGTATTTCAAGGTGAGTTTAGTTCAGTCCTTAGCCACCCACGGATTTACCTGTGGAAAGCGTTTAGCCTAAAATGTCGGAGGAGTAAACAAGAGGATAAATTTCTTCCATGAAAATACGTTAGTCACGGCTGAGAAAAATGGCGAATCTTCAACTCGTATTACGGTATAAAAAAAATTGTGTTGTCGACAGTTTAATCTGTTTACATTTTTGTAAAGTTCATTTGATGAAATCAACACGAGGGTAATTAAATCTTTTAACTTTTTGAGGTCGCAAAAAACGAACAGCTATTTCCTTTAAGTTGAAGAAAAATAACAGGAAACGAAAGGAAAAAATCTTTATCTTGTGGCAAAATGCGCTTTCGCGGTGTCGACCATAATTTTAAAATAAGATTATCATCTATTTATAGTCTCAGTGCAATTGGTTGAATGAGGCCCATGGATCGATCTGGATTGGTTTAATGGGTGGATTCCTTTTATTATAAGCTGTTGCCTGTCTGTTGTAGAAAACTTCTCGTTTTTATGCAACACAGGTTTTATGGCAGCCCAGTGAGGTCGGTTTTCGGCGAGTCTAGTTACTTATAAATTCAAGCAACCGTGAGTTCACTTCACGATCATGGTGTTTCCTTATTTTCAGGTGTAGTGGATGTTTGAATCTAAGGATAGTAGACAAATCGTTAGCGCACGATTTTTATGTAAACAGGATGGTCAGACACGAAACCGTAATACAACCAATGCCTTGGAAAGTGAGCATGTTCAAGACGGGAAAAAGTCACGTTGTAGGTGAAAAACCAAATTACAGAGTGCTGAAATTAGTAGGTTAAGGTTTTCAAAGTTCTTTTGTCACAGCAAAACTTCTCAAGGCAATTTTCTCCCTAAAAATCGCAACCTCTGCACACCACCGCTGCACCACAAGTATTTGATGTCTCTTTCACTAACCTTCACTGCCATTAACTTGTTCCTCCACCAGCGACGACATCAAGTTCAACACTTGCTGCTCCACGTTTCCTTTCGAATTCGACAGCTGTTTTAAAAGCGCTTTTGTCTTAACCATGATCTCCCTTCGACCAGGCATAGTCACCCTTACGTGATTTTCGGACAAGGAGCCGTGTCCATTAGAGAATGAGCGGGCACTGAGCTGTGCATCTGGCGATGTCCTTTCCCTAGAGTCTCTACCAATAAGTTTAACCAGCATCTTCCTCACTCCCCCGGCTAATCCTGTATTGGTTTCATCACTTGCTGGGTTGCACATGGATAGACTTAGATTAGGTTCCTGGGAGACACTTCTAGAAGAGTCTTTGAGAGACATCTCCACTGCGCCTGGCCGAGGCAAAGTAAACTGAAGATGATCTTTTGTCCCGGGCGCTCCGTCCTTTCTCCTGATAAAATCCTGATTACAGACCAGATGTAAATCAAGCAGTTGCAGAAAGCAGCCAGCGTTGCTCAAAAGCGCTTCTTGGGTTTCAAATAAAGCTAGATGGCTTTTGACTTTCGCAGGCAACGATGTGTCAGAGAGAATACTCTTTGCTACATCCGGGGTTTGTAAATTTGCCAATAGGTCCAAGGACATGAGTTCTGCCAACAGGATGGCCTCGACATCAGGGGAGCTTCCCATTGGTTGAGACACTTGTTTCTTGAGACAGACCAGTTTTGTTTGGAGATTGTTCTTCTCCTCCTTTTCTCTCTGGACGCTTTTGGAGAGGTTAGCAATCACAGAAACCAGTTTCTCATGCTGCAGAGAAAAAAGGATAACAAACATGACGAAGAAGTAATTTCCTGAAACAAGCTGAAAAGATATCATCGTATTTATGGAAAATATAAATTTGCTTTTTCTTGTCAGCCACCGAAGGTCAGCCTAAATGGACATGCAGTTTGTTGTTTACTTTAAAGTTAAATCTGCTATTCAGTGCAGCGAACATTTTCGTCAACTTTTTTAAAAGGTAAGTAAATTCTCCAAAGCTGAAAGGTGTGAATGTTGGAGAGGCCGTTCTGTAGAAGGCGATGATTGTGAGAAGGTGGAATAATAAGAACCCGCGGTGAGAGATTATTCTGCCATTTTCACCTTGACCGTTTCTATACGTACATTGCTTAGGATGAAGTGAATCGGAGAGACTTACATCTTTTCCAGCGAAATTCTCGCTTTCCTGGTAGCAGGTAATAGCGGACTTTAAGCGTTGTATTTCTCTGAGGTATTCCAACTTCTCGAATTTGTACTTGATATCTGAGCATAAAATATTCACACATCATTAAACTCTATGGTGTTTTTGCACTCTGCATTCCACAATCACAACTCGCCTTGTACTCAAGCTGATAATAAGAGATACCGAGCAATACGTAACACGACCAATTCTCTTTTAACGGACACCTTTATAAGAGATACATATCCATAAAAAGACACCTGGGCCCAGTTGTTCAAAGTTCGATTGGCGCTTAACCCGGGGTTAAATTTAACCCCGGTTTCCTTTTTCTTCAAATTATTTTCTTGGATAATTTTCTCTGTTATATTTAAAGCTTCCAATCATCAACTTGTAGACAAAAAGAATTAAAACTGAGATGCCTTTTAAGCTTTCAAATCTGAATTCAAATCTCGCACTAACCCTGGGTTATCTTAACCCAGCTTTGAACAACTCGGCCCTGGAGTTGGACCCTGCGAGTCTTTTCTTATTTCCTTATAAGAAAGACACCTAGTTAAATTGGACGCTTTTTTAGTGTCTCAACGCCGTCGGTCTAAGACAGTACAGTACAGTACAGTTAAAATCCTCCAGTCGGTAAACCTGTTGTCATGGAGTTGAACTGGCGACTACTCGGTCGACTGGTGCAGCGAAACCACTCTCATCCTGTGTAGTGTTTATTGTCTTTTTAATGTTTTGCAAAGTGTGTCAGCCCATAGATAAATCAGTTCAAGTTTTAGATGGGTAGTGGCATTTTTCCTTAGTGCCGTTATACTGCTGGGCGAGTGCATTGGTCAAACGCTGTGACCATTCATTTTAAAACCACTGATCCTGAGTACCTTCTCGTGACATTTTGTTTTCTGTGCAGGGTGGTTTTCAATTTGAGGAAGTGTTTACAATCGTAAAATATAACTTTTACAGTGGTACCTATAACAGAAAAGTACTTGCATTCAGTTAAGGAGCAACGGCGTAGAGATAAAATCGTCTTAGGAATAAGCTAGGAAGGGGCCCCAAAGACGCAATAATCTAATCTTACCGTGATCTTCCAGTTTCTTTGCCAGTCTTTCAGCCAACACTTTATAATCAACCTGTTAACGAATGCATTTAAACAAGATTCGGTTGCATAAGATCTCACTTTTTTTATGGTTTAGCTTGCGCAATGTAGCTACAGTCTCTCACTCTACACGATACAGGGTAGATGAAAATCCCTAACACGACATTCACATTTAAGAGTATGTTTCTTCGATACTTTTATTTTTACTAGTATAGGGTGTAGGAAATAGACCTATTTTGCGCGGGAATCTCGACTGGGTCAGGACTTCAGTGATGTCAGTGACGACAATTTAATGAATGGGATCTCATTTAGAGATTAGGGAGCTTTAGCATCGACGACGGCAACGGCAGCGAAAACGTCAGTATTAAAATGAAATCCCGTTTTTTCAATCTTTTTCGCGTTTATTCCAATTTGCTGAAAATGGCAAGTGTAGGCGAATTTCCCTGGAGTTGATTTCTTGAGGACCGTACTCAAGTTTAGAGAGAGAAAAAGAGATTCGTCGTCGCTTGTTTACGTCCTCCATCAAACTTGCAATTAGGCATTTTCACGTCGTAGTCGTGCAAGGACGGTAAAGAAATGTACAAAAAAGCGTGATGCACGTGCAAAGTTGTTGTTTTGCGTAGTAAACCCATTGCTTTTTTGACGTCCTGGTTGCCGTCGCCGTCGTCATTGCTAAAGCTCCCTACTTTCTATGTTGTGTTGATTTTATGGTGGTCATTGTTGGTATTTAATAGTCAGATTTGTCAAGTTTTAGGTTCCTTTTGGATCCAATGGTGTCATGATTATCTTCATTTGGTTGACTGTAATTTAACGAAGACGTTCACAGGTTTAATCGTGTTTACGAAGCAATAGACTGTTCCCGCATTCCTGTGAACAAAGACACCAACTCGAGGCTTTTGATGACCAAATTCAAAGCCAATCCTTCTACTTGTTTTAGAGATAGAAGAAATAGGTACGTTACGTTGCCATGGAGAAAAATTGCTGGATCTCAAGAAACCGTGGTCCTGCTAATATGACGAGTATGACTTTCCTGTGCATGATTGAAATCAGGAACGAAACGGGAGCCCATACTTTCTTCCGTCGTTCGACAATGCCACTTGCCTTTTCTGTCAAGAAAGATGGTTGAGGTCCAGAAATTTTGCTACCATGGTAACGTGACGTCAAACCTCTCCTCTCTATTGTGTACGCTCACAGGTGTGGAATGCGGGAAAGGTTTTGGTGGTTTGTTACCAAGCGCCAGCTGTTATGTAGCTTCTTACCTCAACATTGAGTCGCGCAACGTTTGTTATTCTCATGGCTCTAAGACCAAAGTTTAAACTGCATTTTGTCTCGTTAACCTCGGCAAGCGACGGTGCGATGCAAATCTGCATACAAAACAACAAAAAGAGAAACAAAGAGAGCAATACGTTGGCAGGTTGTTATTTGGATGACTTTTTATTGTGGTCTATAGGCACAACACAGTTGTGAGAAAGGTATTTATCAGGGTCTTGGTTAGACAGATATAGAAAACTGTTGTGGGATATTTTGTTCACACTCTGTTTGTTTTGTCTGATGTTTTGTATCCAAACACTGTAAATAGTAGGGGGCCTGGCCCCCGGTGTTGTGGTCTATCTCTCACTGGGGAGAGGATCTGTTACGTGCCCACAGTAATGGTTGCCACGTGTTGTTGCGGTGACCCTGCCAAGAATCGGCGAACCTAGGCCTAAGTAAATAAAACACTCATCTTCCGTTCAACTTTCATACTTGTTATACATACATTGTCACCTAGATCATGACTTAAATGTTGTTTTCTTTTTTTCAATAGCCCTGGATTTTGTGTACAAAACGAAATTCAGTAAATTGTGTACTCTAAAATTAATAGTGAGTAATCATGATGCTAATGACGATAATGACGATTTCATTTTATAACTGTTATAAGTTTCCTACAGTGCCTAAGGCCTCAAAAAGGCATTGCCAAGTAAGAGATTAGATAAACAAGTACTGCTAGTTATTTTCTTACTATGAAATTCGTTTTTCCATTGTCGCCGAGGCAGTCCTGCAAGAGCCTGGTAAGAGTTGAATTCCTATACGGCACATGACGCTTGTGTCCCCGTGCAAGAGCATAAATCACATTGCTGAGGGGTGGGGTAAGAAAATGAATCGACAGTATATAATATCTGTCCTTAACAAAACAAAGCGGGGACAGTATATCAGTTGAACTTCTTTTGCTTTTAAATTGTTATCGAGGAGGGGTTTTCTTGAATGCAATCGGGACGTAATGTGGTGGCCATTGCCCAAAAGGCGGGAGAGAGGTTGCCGAAAAAGTTTAACCTAGAATGATAGAATGAATTTATGGACTGTCTTCCAAGAGAAATAAAGTGGCCATTGAGGAAGAGACGGGTAACCGTTAGTAGAAGTGCGACTGTAATATGCGCATTTCTATTTACGCTTTTTTTTATCAGTTCTAATTTTATACGCGCTTCTTTTCGATGTAAACTTTGTAGCCTGTGGTGTTAACTTTCCTTATTTAAACAATAAAACGTACTTATTGCATCACTTGTAAATAGAAAACGTTAACATTGTACAATGAAAAGTTTTGTACTGTCTTAGTACAAGTAATAAGAATCTTCGGGACAGTCCTACAAAACGGGCGTCGTCGTGACGATGAATCTTACCAGCACGTTTCAGGATTGTTTAAAAGGTCATTTTAAGTGAAAATGCTTGCCAATATGAAGTATATGAAGCATCGCGAAGGAGGAGCTCAATTCTCACGAAATAATGTAATTATGTTTTTTTTAATCTATATTTTAACCTACCCGAGCTCAAGCAATGATGTATTCAAATACTTTGCCTCTGTCAAGCGTACTCCTTCAGCTTTTGTCTTAGTCAGCCTCTCACTTCCGGCTAAATCACACCTGAAAAAGAGTTAGCCATGATCGTTTATCCTTCGTGCTTTTCATTTCTCTACCACCATACAGTAAAGAAACCAAAAAAATACTTACAAGTTGATTTTTCCTTTTAGAATAAGATCCCCTTCAAAATTGTTTCCGTTGTTCAGCTAGAAACCGAAAAAAAACATCATCATCATCATCATCTTTATAAAATTAAGATTGTAAAAAGGAAAGAGACAGTGAAATTTAACTGACGAAGTCATCTACTTTGTGATTTACCGTAAAGCAAAAGTGTGATATTCAAGACGAGCTTCTCACAGAGAAGTGCACGGTTGGACATTTGTCGACTATCTACAAATGCCGCTGCTATTGTTCAACAAACGTTGAACAGTGCATCATGCATTGCTGATATTCAACAGGTCAAAGGCTCCTGAACAATTCATCAAGTTGTAACTTGCTGAACAGCGACATTGCTCGGCCGGTTAATTGTTTGACAAATGTAGAAGGGTGTTGGACCCTGTATCATTTGCTTTAAAGCCTTTTGTGCATGTTAAAAGTAGTCTCAAGTTGTCTTTTATCTAAGTAAAGGACTAATTCACCAAAGAAACTTTTTCCACCTCTTTCTCCATTAGCTCTTTAAGGCATTCCCTTTCACGCTAAAAAATTAAAAAAAAAAAACATTTTATAGCTATGATGAAATATAAAATTCAATCAAATTATTTCAGGTCTATTCAAGAAACATTTAAGAATAAAAATCAACGATGAAAATTTTGAATGACGTTTCGATGACTCGCTCATCATTTTCAAATTCTAAAAAGTTAGATTGTTAAAAGTTCTTTATATATTAAGAATGCGTGTGAAGTCTCGTTGCACGTGATTAAAAACTACAATGTGGAATGTAGTGAGTGTTAATTAGGTACTAAATAGTTTCGCTTTTATTGAGTCTGATTGAGTGTTCAGTTTGGGTTTCTTTTCCTGGATAAAAAGCATTTCGTAGATCAAGCATTCAAATTTCCCACGACATTTCTTCAGTATAGTGAATTGTTCAGTGAGATCTTTGTTCTTCTGATTGTGAGAGTCACGCAGGTGTTTTCCAATAGCTGAGTGCTTGTGTTCATCAATGCGTTGGAAAAGGTGTCGGCGAGTATAACCAACATGTCGTGGGGAATTTGAATGCTTGATCTACGAAATGCTTTTTATCCAGGAATAGAAACCCAAACTGAACACTCAATCAGACTCAATAAAAGCGAAACTATTTAGTACCTAATTAACACTCACTACATTCCACATTGTAGTTTTTAATCACGTGCAACGAGACTTCACACGCATTCTTAATATATAAAGAACTTTTAACAATCTAACTTTTTAGAATTTGAAAATGATGAGCGAGTCATCGAAACGTCATTCAAAATTTTTTTCGTTGATTTTTATTCTTAAATGTTTATCGAAAGCGTCTATTCAAGAAAACAACAACAAAATGGAATTAGGGAATACAGGCATGAGTACAGGAAATTTAGCAGACTCAAATTACATAAGAACCAGCTGGAAAGAGATTTCAAAAACTGGAGAGCGCAAATTTTTCAATACTCGCTTTCAGTATCTAAAAGACATTTTAAAACTTAGGGAAACTGGCCTCTCTATACAATACATAATGTGTCGTTTTTGCCTTTTTTTCATACATTCTTCGCAGTTTTAGAGTCCACACACACCAACTATTTATGAATATAAATTAAATTGTCATAAACCGTTAAATGTGCCACATGGCTTTACCTTATGATGGCTTTTCCTCTCCTGTTTCAGTTCTTTAATGAGGTTGTTAATGGTTTCGTCAACAGCCATAATGGATTCTTGAACAGTCTCCTGAGACGCGGAGGTGTCACTTTCACTCGGCGGTTTTTCTTTTAAATGAGAAATGAATGTCTTTAGAACGCCCGCCATAATAAAAAGACTTGGTGATGGTTTTAAAGAAATACGAGGGACGCCTGTGATCAGACTCCCAGGGAAGCGTGTTGTGGAGAGATAGGGAGCCTGAGATGTTTCTGGCCCTCCCTCCTCCCTTTCCATCCCCCTTTCCGCCTCCCCGGCTGTTCTTAACTTCTCTCCTTCTTTTTTCCCCTTTGCCAACTAGAGAGTCACTTCAAAGGCTATCGAAGGAATTTGAAATAAATGAAGTCCTTTCTGTGTTGCTGGGACATAGGAAGGTGTTTTGATAATTTTTGTATTTTGGATTTTAGAGACTGAGGGCAATAAATCATGGTGTTGGTGGCGGTGATTGCGCGGAGTTCTTTGCCAGGTTTAAATTTCCGCCTTCAAATCTAGTCAATGTTGTTGGAGTTCGACTCGCTTTAGAATTTCTTGAATTGTTTACTTTCTTACCATTGGCGATGTGTTCCTTGAGTCTTCTTTCTATAATGAGCTGCATGATGGAGTGAGACCTGTGGGGAAAAAGAAGTTGTTTGTCGATTTGCTTTTGTTCGTCGTCAAAGCTTCATCTTGCTCCTAAGTGGAGCCTTATCTTGTTTTGTGGTTACTGTTAAACCTCTACATAGCAGCCACCTTGGGGACAGAATAAAGTAGCCGCTGAAGAGCGGTGACTGTGGTAGAGAGGTTAATATTATTTACCAGTAACGCCTTCCCTTCGAAGCCGAAGATTGATGGCGTGGGAAGAGCTAAATATTACGAAAAAAGAAAAATGCAGAGTACATTGTTTTCGGGTTTACAGGACTGTGATTGAAGAAGAAACGGACTGTTTAAATTTGGTTAAATTAGTGTTCTCAAAGAAAGCCTAAGACAGTTCCACTGAGTGATTGTTCTCAGCAAGGGTCAATGTATGGACTGTCAGCCAAAAAAGTAGCCGTTGTAGAGAGGTGGCCGTTATTGGAGGTCTAACTGTATTACGAACCAGCCAGATTTCTGTGTCCAACAATAAAACTTAGAGAGTAAATATTGAAACTTCACAGAGGAGCTTCCATTGGTTACTAACAACTGAAGTGTCAGAGGGCTTACGATTTACAACACCACCCTCACAATGTAATAGTCCAGTTTCGAATTAAAAATTACCGCTGAATACAAACATTAACGACACATTCATACAGGGTTAGCCTCGACGTAAAGTAAAATATTCAGAAATTCTGGCGAGTGAGTGTTTGAAATTTGAATATACACAATAGACAGAGTAATAAAGAGGTCTTTTTCTCGTTGGAATTTGTGAATATATTACTTCAGATGGAGGCTAAGGCTGTAAATTCTTTAATCCAGCGGTCATAGCGAACTGATCTTCTAGAGAGAGGTCTTCAAATCCAGAGACATTTTTAGATTCAAGCCGTGCCTTTCGAAACTGAGGAAAATATATACCCGCAAAGCTCGGTTAAAATAACAAAGAAAATAAATTCATCATGAAATGGTGCAATCTTGACTTCATACTTTGTCACTGACGCATATTTATTGCTGTACTCTAACTATTAGTTCTATGTGAGACTCAACTGAGTGCCACATATTTGAAAATAAAAGCTGTTTTCAGTAGTGCTTTACCTGCTTGAATGCCTGACCATTTTGGTTTCGGCAATAACAAGATGTTGCTTTCCAACCTCCAAAAGCGCAAAAACATCTCCAGCGCTCTTCACCTCGTGCTGTGTTAAGTTTGCAACGTAAACACCTGGAACAAAATTTCATGCAAATGAATTTTATTCTCTCGCTGAAGCCCCTTCCCAACGAATCCGGATATTTTTAAAAATCGAGGCTTTTTTCTCTGTTGTCAAAAAAATAAGCATCTTGATGTAGCGTATTCGAATCGTTTTTGAAAACCTCCATTTTTGTCCGTCCACACGTAAATGAAAATCCTGCGAAAACTCCACCCTGGAGAGCATTTTTAAAAAGATCCGTTTTCGGTGACCGTTTTCAACGGATACATGTGGATTGTAGGCCAAACCAGAGAGAAAATATCCGTTTTCAAACAAAAACAGTTTCGTGTGGGCGGGGCCTGATTCGGGGTAGTTCTGTTTGTACTGAAAAGTTCAACAAGCAACAAGAGAAACTGATACCTTTTAATAAGGAGACCACTCCGCATAGGGAGAATGTCAGTGGAATTTTGAACTAAATTTTTCCCTTCAGTGGTGCTCAGAGCTAAAAGAAACCCCTTAAAATGCCAACCTTTGACCGTCTCCAATACAGAGTTTTATGGAAAAAGAAATTCAAAGTTCTCGAAAACTGCTTTTTTTGTTTCAGAGAATTAGAATATTGATCACTACAATAGATTATAAAATATTGATGATAAGAGGGAAAACATTTCCTTGTTTCATGTCCTCTTGGTATTAGCACTGCGACTTATACAGCGAAGATAACGGTCATTTTTGGCCACAGGTATTGGCCATTTTTGATCACTTTTGAAAATGTAATTTATGTTGACTAGCATACGAAACGTCAAGCGTGTGTAAAAATGCGAAAGTTCACAATGTTAACCACCGCTTTTGAGTTTTATTTTTGAATAGAACCCAGCATCTGGAGATCTGTGGATAATTGACAAAAATTTGGTTCTTGTTAGGAACGCGTGCGTACCTTTCTTCGGATGTTCCCTGACTGGTAAATCTACCATAAGCCGAGGATTCAGCAGATCATAAACTTTTTCTTGATAGACTTGCAGAAATGAGCACATAACCTGGGCAAAGATAACCAATCCAGCCATGATTAAATCCAGATGTAGTTAATCGATAAACCGATAATCGACAGTAATCGATGTGAATCATCGATGAATATCGATTTCCGATATCGATGGAGAGAAATCGTTAAAGAAAAAAGTTGTGACTTCGATTAATATTCGACGATTTTCCGATAGAAATCGATGATGATTTTTTGTCCATTGTTATCGATTACTATCGATCCTATCTATTCGATTATAATCGACAAATTATTTTTCCTATATCCATCAATATTAATCGGCGGATTAAATCAATTAATATCGATGATATCGATTTGTTTCCGATATCGATTTTTAGCGATTAATTACATCTGGTTAAATAAACAACGACGAAGGGGTTAGTTCTTCAAAAGAAACCATATAACTGCCTCATTCAGTTTGTAACCATAAGAAGGTTCAAGGCTACTCCTTTTGTCAGATTAAATATAATCTCTAAGACTAATAATTAGCCATTTCCACCACCTCTTTAACCTGGTACTGCCTTTTGTATAATGTCGCCGTCCTAACTTAGTCATCGTTGACTCTATGAAACAGACAGATCTCTAAGGCGGATCCTTAGAGTCTTTTCCAACGGCTTAGGCCTCTTAAGTAAATTAGACTGTCTTGAGTATTGTTCTTGACAAACCCTGTAAAGTCACAGGGAGATCAGAAGTGTTTCAAGTTTCGTTTGGCTTAATCAAGCAAGAGAATGCAAAAAGGGAGGCCTTACAAAAAGTGATTGATCGCTGCATTGGAAGGAAGCCGTCAATGGTACGTAATAAATCTGGCAGGAGTAGGAAAGGAGGACTACGTCAAAAGTACCTTGTATGTGTGAATCTCATCGTTGTCAATTTTCTCAAAACAGTGTTGAACAACTCTTGTGGTAATGCCATCGTCTGACAATAATGTGAAGGTTTTTCCTGAAAGGTTTAATATAGTTTTAAAAGGTTAGATTTAGATTTTCACCTGAAAAGCAAATAACCCTGAGCTACGTCGCAGATATTTCATTTTCCCACCTCCTTTGTAGATTGCTTATTACGGAGTCTTATCGGGCTAAACGAGGAGGTTCACTGGACAATTTGGTTTTAATCATTGAGCTGATGGTCAATGATGGACTTGTCACTGAATAGACTAGCTTGTATATATTATGTTGTAGTTAATTTTTGTTTTTCTTTTGCTTAAAATTCATTAGCATACATTGCCGTGCCCAAAAACAATAGAAAATGAAAATTAATTGAGTTAAGAAAATTAACTGCAACATATACCATGTTGACACTTCCCAAAGAGGGCTTCTCAGTCATCAAACTAATTAACTATAACTAACATAAGTTAAACTGATGGCTTTTTTGACAATCACAATGGTGTAATAATAATTAAAAATAGAGTATGAATTAAGCTTCAAATAGTTGCTAAAATTATAAGATTTAAACTTGAATAAAAGAAGGAATGCGATGGTATTGATACCCTACTTAAATTGTAGTACTAAAAAACTATATTCTGATACCTAATTTAAATCGCGACCTGACAAATTTTTGTCAAGTTGTTTTTTAAAAATACCTGTTCCTGTTTGTCCATATGTCAGCAGAGTCCCTTTGTATCCATTTAGAGCAGCATAAACCAACGGCTTTCCAACTTTAAGATAAAGCTTGAAAACGGCAAAAAGTGAATCCATTGTACAAGAGTAAGTTTACGACATGTTAAAGGAAATATTGCAGTTGGAATGAGTATAAATGTGCCAAAGCTATCAGCATACAAGGACATGCGCGGCGTATTCTGTTGTTGACAGTGTCTCAGACAGTGTCTGCTTTGGTTTGTGATTGGCTGCAATATCCCACGCCATGTCCTTTGATTAAAACCACTAATCGTGACTTTTGCATGAGTTTCCCGCCCTCAGATATTTTTTTCGTATCAGTGCATTTTGTCAATGGGCAAAGAAATTGTTTGGGCTTAAGTTTAACGTTGATTCATTGAAAACTACTAAGAGATTTTCCGCGGAAATTCAAATAAAGGGTATGCCAATCTGGAAATCAAAACATGAAGACATTCTTGGATAACACACTACTTATAGACGACATAGATTTAGGGCAAAGACTTGTTTGTGGTGAAGATCGTGATTTAAAATTACCTCGTGATTAGTGGCCTCTGGGCTGAACACACCGTCGAAGAAATAGTTTGTTCGACTTCTTGGGTCGAGAACACGAATCTGATTATGGAAGAAATACGAAAATTAACGTAATTTTTATACGTTCATATATCGGTTTACAAGTTAAAAAATAATGAAACGTTTGTTTCAATTGCGAAATATACCACTGCGCCGAATCGGCCATTTCTGAGTTGCATAAAACCTCTGTTTTAAAACGAGGTTAAGGGTAAAGCCTTTGATATGAACATGAGTTTTATTCTCATGCACATAAAACTCTTTTTTACGAAAACGGCTTCGCACTTGACCTCACAGTTTTAAAAGTGAGGGGTTTTGGAGCACGGAAACGGCACATTGTAAATTAATGAACTTTACCTTACGTCGTATTACGGGGATTATGATTTGACATGATGTTCGTAACACATACCAGAGAATGTTCTTGGTGAATTTCAATCGCATTTGGTTCACGTTTTTCCTTTTCTCTTTCCGTAAATGGACGTACTCGAACATAAACTTGGATTTTTCCTGCTTCTGTGTATAAAAATAGAACGAATTATCGGTTAAGTCAAGGGAAGATGACCTATCACGCGCGTACCACATACAATAGGCAAAGAAAAACGTCCCAGAGGCCTACTTGCCAAGAACTAGCATTGTGGGGCAAATCGTCTCTGAGATATTAGCCCAGTTATGCTCTGATGACTCTATACAAATCCTTCTAAATTTGACTTGGGTCTAAACGTTATGACCCAAGTCAAATTTAGAACATTATGCACCCACCTTTTCCCTTGCTCATGGTAGTTGTGTGAATTAAACTCAGTGGCTTCTCTTACTGATTCCAAATCAGGGCTTGATTCTCAGGTCCAGGGGCCAGGGTATCTAGTAATCTGGCGAAGGGAATCAAGAGGATTCACCATTTCTCTGAGTTTACATGGCTATTTTCTTCTGAGATCTGGAAAACGAAAACATAAAAGAAGAATGCATTGGTTTAAAATCATGTGACGAAAGGAGATGCGCAGTTACAGTGTAATAAAACAGTACTAATTTGTCTAAAGTATGCTATACGCTGCAATTTTGTAGAAAGAAAATTTGATATTTACAGTAAATTGTATCACGCATAACACTGTTTATGATGGACGAGAGTAATTATAAGTTGAAGTGTTAGAGAGGACCCATAAAGTCCTCTGAACATTATATATTAGGCCCAGTAATGACGTGAGCCCGGATGTAAGCCCGGAACGCTTTCTGTTTTTAAACCCTGCACCCTCCAACTATGACCTGACGGATAGTAATCACGTCGATCGGCATTGAAAACGTGGGAATTTACAACAGATACTAGTTGAAAGTCTCTCTTTCTCCTCTCAAACCTGGACCGATGGCGAAACACCGTTTAAGAGAATTCATCCATACACAGTATTTTTAAAAGCAAGGTAAGTGCAACCATAGTTGATATAGTGGAATCATGGCTTTGAAGTCGGTCAGACTGACTTTCTGTCGCTTTTAAGGACTTCTCATTTGCATACCTGTCATTTAAATCCTTGATTAGACCAATAGAAACGTCGCATTTATGTATTCAGTCATAGCTTGTGCACAGCCACCAGGGAGTTTACAACTTGAACCGCAGTTAAAACTGCAGCACCGTTGTTTTCCGACTTTTATAACCAGTGCTCCTCGCGCTAGGCCCCGTTTATACGAAGAGCCTCCCTCGGCTGGAAGGGTCACCTTTAATCTCGTTCCCAGAGGCTGAGATCCTTTTGATCAGCGACGGGGATTGGTTCACCTTCTCAGCCGAGGCAACTGCGCCCACGCATGCTCTGATTGTCTAAAACAGCGCTCACGCATGCTCTGATTACCTCACTTTGACCGAGTTGACAAGGCTGGGCGAACAAAAAGTGTTTATATGGAGAAACGTTCGCCCGGCTGGGAGGATGACCCTACCATTGCATTCAAATGGCCGAATCAACGCTTTGTTGTTCATGTAAACGGTTCGCCACGTTTTGTTAGGAAATGAAAGAAAAGTTGACTCGCCCTGAGTAGCTTGGGTAGGCAGATCACCCGGAGAAAGTTTTCTCCATAAAAACGGGCGTGAATGAAGTATGTCAAACATGAACTACACGTGCCGGTAATATTGGAATTGAAACGGAACAAGGGTGTTTAATTGTACTGTTTACAATTAAAATGATTTTGCTCATGCTAGTGCTTGCTATACAAACTCGGAACATTTCTTCTGGGCTCAGGGAGAATTCACTTAAGAAAACGTGGCCCGAGTTACCCAGATTTCATCGCGGAGTGGGTGGAGTAGGGGTTGGAGGATGTCCACCTTGCATTTTTACAACAATTCAGCATCAAATTACCTTACTCAGAAAAAAAAATCATTATTTAATGTCTACAGACGCAATTATCAGAAAATCCAGGTTGTGCGAGTGTGGCTTTGATGAAAGCTTTGGAATAGTTCGAAGCATAATTTTCTATTGACATTCAAGCCGGTTTGTCTCTGAAATAATTCCCATTAAGCAATAAGAACCAAAAAGCCTAGGCATTTGCTTTAAATAAGTAAAAAAAAATTCCCGTTTAAACCGGTGTTATATCCCGTACAATTCAAGGAGCTTTTGGAAGAAAATACAATGGCTCCGGCTCGTAATGCCATATTTTAAGGTTAGAACCAACCACCTGTTGCGGCCACCTAGCATTGTTTTTCCGTTGTTCGGTTATCTTTTTGAAAGATGCTATTTGTAAAAACAACTAATTTTCATAATGTAGGGGCATAAGAAAATTGCTCTATCAAAAATGTTCTTAAATTTTCAGCCAGTTTACGTTTGCAACATCAGCAAAAGCCCAAGACATAGTTCGCGGCCAAAAAGGTCTATTTAAATCATTGCTTTCTAATCACCATTAAATTTTAAAGAACGGTTATAAACCACAGCGCCTTTGTAATTGTCACAGTTAAAAACATGACTTCAGACCACGGTCAATTGTAGCATTTTCTAATTAAGATGTTGCTTAAAATATTGCCAAAAGACACTTCACTCAAATTAATTTCTTGGCTGTATGGTATGAAATATGTCCTGAATTTATAGACAATTGTTTTTGTTTTGATTTTACTAATCGCAGTTATCATTTGAACCGCCGTCCTTTAAGATTAAAAGGTTTCTTTGGATCAGTGAATGCTTCAAGATAGCGTTAACTTACCGAGTTTCTGTCGAATTGTTCTTTTTCCTCTCCTAACTAAAGCTCCCTGGAGTTCATTAGTTAAATAGGGGAAAATATTTTCCGACTATTAATCTCAGTTGCTTATTATCGCCTCTTGCGAACTGCACTTTAGCGAGAGCACCAGCGAAACACCGGAAACAAGAAATAAATTATTAAGCGTGGTGTAATAAGAAACGCTCAATTTTAGCCTGTCCATATTTTTCATGGTCATTTGAAATGCTGCCACTTATATTAATCTGATTTTATCCTCAAGCTCTTTCCAATTCCTCCATATGCCGTCCGGAAGTACCTAACCTACGAAAATGCGAAATGAAAAAAAATTAAGTTGTTAAGAATTACTCAAAACAGTTTTCCGAGTCGTCAAAGAATAGTGATAAGGTCGCTTGTTTTACAATTAGCAGAAGCGCATAACCACGCAATTGTGAGCATGACTTTACATTCGAAACGGCATCAAAATATGTGATTGTAAATGTTAAAAAAAGTGTTTTAAAAATTAACGGGAGGGTTATAATATATATGAACAGAGGGGGGGGGGTGGGGGGGGGATCTAGGCTTGGTTTTTTTTTGATACCGTATATGACCTAATAAATACCCACTTCCAAATAAACGCCTATTGTCTAATAAACGCCCCCTCTACGCTTTGTAATAGACGCCCCTCTGTAACAAACGCCCCCTGTCTAATAGACAGAATTATGAGAATTACTCAAAAGTACTAGGAATTAGCAGATTAAAGAAGCAAAATCGTTCAATTCATTTAGTATCTTGCTTGATTAACAAGTGTTTGCGTATTTCATCTTGTTCAATGTCAAGTTAAAAAGATAGCAGAGAATCAGACGTTTTATATTGTTATATATGAACTCCGATGACGGCAGCTGCTGATTTTAACACATCATCGTAGTTAACAGCATTAGGTAGGTTCTTCTTCATCCACTTTGTGCCTCTCTCGGCGATCATCTCCCATTCATCTTTCTGATCCGAGAACGTGCCCATCAACAGAACCAGTGCTAGTGCAGTGGTCCATAATAGCTTCCCTTCAGCTGTCTCAACTGCTATCTCTCTTGGGCATCCTGCGATCAAGGCTTCTTGGCTTGTTGTACACAGGGCCACCAGCTGGTCAGTGAGGTCCCAGGCCCCTGAGAATTTCTGTAAGGCCTTCACTAACAGTAGTTGACATTGTTTTTGACATCTTTCAATGCGAGCATCTTGCAATGCCAGTACGGAGTGTACTGCTACTACCCTTCGCTTTGCCACACAATCTCCCTTTTCTTGGAAGTTTTCGTAAAAGTCATCCTGGTCGATGTGATACTTTGCCACAGGGGTGTTACACAGAACCTCGCAGTCCTCGTCTTCACACTCGTCATCTGAACTACCCTCCGAATCACTATATAAATCACCTCCTTCCTCCCAAACCCCAGGTCGTTTTTTCAACGGTGCTGACACCGGCTGATGATTGTCTTGGTCAACAGCGACAAACGAAGTGAATTTGGAAACTATGTTCGTTGCTTTGCTAATGAAAATCACTGTGTGTTTGAAAGCATCTTTTTTCTCGTCACTCCAAGTCCGGCTTCCGTTGTTGTAGGCACCTTGTTTTTCTTGTATGAGCTGCTTGGCTGCAAGACGATGAATACTCCCTCCATTCACTTCAGCTTCATCCCCTTCACGAGAGAAAGTAAAATGAATCTCGTGATGTATCGCTGCCTTTTTGTTCCCCAGTCTGCCTTTCAGGATTGCTTTTGCAGTCAATTCTTCTTTGCCCTTTTTACAACTTTTGGTAAGACCTCCTTGCCGACAATTGAGGTCACCATACACAACAAGTCTGTCTCCTAGAAACAACAGAGGAAGGGTTGCGGGGATCTGGTATCCATTCCAGTCTTTCGGTAGTTTCCATGACAATTCGACATCTGTTATAACTGGTTGCAGAGCTCTCTTTAATGTCTTGATTACCTAAAGTTGGTAAAAAATAATACAAATAGGAATGAGCAGTGCTGCCGTTTATAAGAACTCTCTTGCAGTAAAAAGAACTGAATTATCGAGTACATTTTACAATCATAAGGCAACTATTATCTAGAGTATAGTAATTTACAGTTATAACAATGAAAATAACAATTGAATCACTTAAAAAATTTAAATGTAAAGAAGTCCTCCACTCTCTTTGTCCTACAGACCTGCATGTTCCGGAAAAGATAATACTTTTGTGTTTTCTGCCTTAAGGTGTAGTTAGACGCGTCCAGAAGTGGGCTGGGAAGTAGGTGGTGCAGAGGGTGGCTGGGGGACTTCATTTTTGCCATATATTTGTAGCACAAGAGTAATCTTCTACCATCTAACCTATCTAGTTTACCTAACTGTAAGGCATGAGCATATGACTCTGCCTCGGGGTAGATTATGTTAAGCGCCCTTTTTTGCACTCGCTCTATGGCTTCGGACAGATAAGCAGGGATGTTCTGCCACACTGGAACAGCATACTCTAAAACCGGCCGGACTGTGCTAAGGTATATCCTCAAGATGTTGGGTTGGCTCACCCTGGCTCTACGGAGAACTCTAAGGGAGTATAACTTCTTACAAGCTTTCTTAATAATGTAATCAACATGACAGTTTCACTTCAGGTCATTGTCTATAATAACTCCAAAGATCTTATAGGTATTGGCACGCTTGGTGACATTGCCGCCAATTATTATCGGGTTAATGAGACAATTAGAGTTATGTAGGAGATTAATACGCATTTCTTTACATTTGGTTGCATAAAGTTTCATATTATGAGCAATGGCAAAATTGTGAATGTCTGAGGCCACTACATTAAGTAAGCTAGGGGAGTTCCTTGGAATTATTTCGAGAGCACTGGTATCATCGACGTACTTGATGCGCAGCCGCCAGTCAGACAGCAGTTTGTTTGTCATCACCGTAAAGAGGATCACGCCCAGTTTATTCACTAATAATCCTGAAGGAAAGTAAAGGAACAACACGAGGGTAACTTCGACCGTCTAGTGCAAAGCTTTTGACGAACTGAAACTTGACCCTTGATTTCCTTTTTTCTGCCCCGGTGTAAGTGTATTAAAAAAGAGATTTTTGTTATATATTTTTCCCCTTATTAATTTCATCCAAGACACTTATACATGTGAAAAAACAAACAAACAAACAAAAACACCAACAGAACGAATTAAACTAGAAGGGGTGTTGCCACAGGAAGCCCAATGCAAAGTGACAGGGACTCCGCAACTGCATCCTACAACAATAACTTGAATACAGTAAACACCCGCATAAAAGAACAATTAATTAGATAAAAAACATCAGACTGAAGGCTGGCTAATAACGCACTATTATATATAAGAACCGCGCCGGCAACCTTAGAGCGCAAGTCGCACGATTAGAAGAACCCGTTGACACTACTGAGAAAGAGCTCGTGAATTTGAGTCTGGCGGTAAGGCCGGTAAGGAATCGAGCTTGAGCAAAGGCGTTTGTGAGCGACGCACGTAAACCGAAAGGGAGGAGTTTTCTCTTTTAATACTCCTTGAGGCTACTAACTTTGCATAATTGCTTACTGTTCTAATATAGAAACAATTTGCCCAAAAATATGGGTAAAACCACCGGAAAGGAATGCAAAAAGTTCAATTTCGGTTTACGTGCTTCGCTAACGCAACAATCAGCCTCTCACCAGCACAGCAAAGAAGGTGCTCCTATAGCCATTTACTACGTAAGTTCGATTTGTAGTCGGGTAAGTGATAACCTGGGGATTAAGCCAATGGGACTGTAAAACAGTTTATAGGTGCTTCAGTTCGTAACTCTACCCGACGAGTAAGTCGGGGTTGGTCCTGCCCGTTCCAAGAGTTCGCCTCTCTGTGGGTTTGTCCCACACTTGAGCGATTTGCCATACCTTATTACCAAGTCGTGAATACAGCCAACTCCCGCTAAAGGTGATGTTACACGGGACGATTCGCAACGACGATTTTTAGCGCAACGCAGAGTTGCTATGTTGGAACAATGATGTAACTATGTAGCAACAATTTTGCAACACTGTGTTGCGCTAAAAGTCGTTGTTGCGAGTCGTCTCGTGTAACATCACCGTAAGACGGACACCTTTGGGACAGGCAGTAAGTGTCCGTCCAAGAGTGATGTCCGTCTTATAGAGAGTCAAATAAAAGGAGTAAAGAAAGGCAGTGTCCGTTAAGAGAGAGTCGACTGTACCTATGGTAGAATATTACACTTTGTTATATTCCTAGACTTTCACTTGACTAAACAGGGACTGCCATTGGTTGATTCTTAGTCACGTGGCCTTGACTAAAATCAAATGTATCCCGATCGTTATACATTACGCAATGTATCCCGCTCGGGATACATTACAGCACATGATCAAAGCATGGTGGAAAGTGGCCTGACAGAAGGCAGGAAAAACACTGCCAGTTTTCTTTTTCGTGAATGAACACAACAACACAAACACGAAGCCTCAAGCTAAAAAGCAACGATTTTTATAGTTATCCCAGAAGAGAAACAGCAGCTAGTGGAGGAAATAGATGCAGATAATATATAAGGAAAGTACTTTGTAAATCATTCATTCAGTGGTTTTGAGAATTATATTTGTGTTGTTATAAGTACCGAGTCGACTGTTTTGGTTAGCTCCGGTTATTCTTTTGTTGCTGTTGAAGTGAAAGTCTAGGAATATAACAAAACACTTAATGTCAGGTCCCTCGGGAAACCAGTTAGTTTTGTTTTCCCTCGAGTCCTGATGTTTCCCTCGACTTCGTCTCGGGAAAACAAAACTAACTGTTTACCTCGGGATCTGACATTAAGAGAATATTATTGCCCTTGCCAGCTATTCCCCAGCCCCGCCCCCTCCATTGCATGAATGCAATACGTTTTCTGGTAACGGTTTGCTAAAACTCATCATTTACGGTATAAGGACTCCAAGTGAACATAAGGGACTTGACTTGGTTTAGGTCGAAAACCTCTCTTTATTATCTTCTATACCTGCATTAGATTTGTTGGGACGTAAAGAAATATATTTGTTTTGCTCTCCGTAAATGGCCTTGCTACCGTAAAGAATTGTGTTGAAAAAGGACCACGAACGGTTCCACCTGGGGAGTGATAACCTGCGTAGCTGGTGGGATCACAAGTCGCGTGACATGGACAGGTTCAAGTAGCGCCCAATCGGAATTTTAGACTTCATTGTAGTGAGGAAATTTTTAATAGACCTCACGTGATAACACTATGGAAAACTGTTTCTTTCGAACTAACCTGAGAGCTGAGACCGTTATAAAACGTACAAGCTAAAGAGGTCTTTTAGGTTATGGTATTTCCGGTGTTTAAGTGGATACGAATTGGCCGGAAATGAAGTATTTCTGCGGCACGGAAGCAGTAGGGACTGGGGCGGTTTCCGTTGAAGTGCCGTATGGGTAGAATGGAGTCCTATGAAAGGAGTGCTTATCACGTGGGAAAGCATTCTAGGCCGACACCTCGTCTAGCCCACGTTATTATTTATTTACTTATTCATTTATTTATTATATATTTCATTCATTAAGTGATAGATCGAGTTTCGAGAGGGTTTTCACTTGTTTTCGATATTTTTCGTTTGTTTTCCAATAATTAGTTCGAATTTACCGTGCTCTGTTGGAATACATGGTCAGAAGTGTGGGCAGAGACTTTCGACCCGTGTAGCCATCGTAGGATAGGCTTTTCTGAGCATGTGCCATGGATCCTACCCAGATTTCCTGCCAAGTTTTTCCCTACTGGTTTCTTCTTCTTTTTTCTTTTCCGGCAGGTTTTTTCTGGCCTCCGTTCTTACAGTATTCTATGCTAAATGTCGCTCAGCTCTGTTCTAGCTTATCTATACCACATGTTTGAATCTAATAGAAGGTGTAGTATAACGTATTGATATATCTGCAGCGCTCGGCCCAAACCGCGCTTGCCTTTACGGGCGGCCATCTTGGTTTCATGTGTACCGAGGGACTGGTAGTCAAGTTGCACTCAGTACAATTGAAACCAAGATGGCTGCCCGTGAGGGTAGTAGCTCGATCGCGGCCATCTTACGGAAAAATAGGGGACTGTGAGCAGCGCACTTTACAACTAACATAGCGTCTTTTCTTAGGAAATGCAAAAGTCGTAAAAGCCTAAGATTTGAAAAGGCTCAATTTAAATTACGGAAAACTTACTTAACAATTACAACTTTAAAATACGGTCGGTACAAAGAACATGACCTCACAAAGTTGCGCTAATAAAATGATTGTGGTTATATTCACCAATACTAGCAAGTGGTCTGTCTGCAAGCTTATGAACAACTAGTCCTCATTATTTGAATAATCTGTTCAGGTGTTCATGATATCTGGACTCCAACTGTAGCTGCTGCAAACGTTATCACTTCGTCGTATTTAATGGCTGCTGGTAGATTTTTCTTCATCCACTTTTTGCCTTTCTCTTGGACCATCTCCCATTCATCCTTCTTATTCCCGAACTTGCCCATCAACAGCACCAGAGCCAGAGCAGTGGCCCATAACAGCTTCCCTTCAGACGAGTCAACTGCAATCGCTGCTGGGCATCCTGTGATCAAAGAATCTTTGCTCGTTCCACACAGGGAGACCAGCTGGTCGGTGAGGTCCCAGGCTCCTGAGGCTTTCTGTAATGATATAACTGACAACAAAGCTGGGGCGTCTTCTTCTGGTTCTTTTTCTTGTTTGGTTATGTTATCGCGTTCCGCCTCTTCCAAGGCACAAGCAGCATAAGAGGATTGCCCTTGATCTTTTCCCTTTGGTCGCGACAACGATGCCCCACTAAACAGTTTCGAGAAAAAGGAGCCTATAGACTGCTTCAAACTCGTCTGTTTTTCAGTAGGGACTGGTCTACTTGCTCCGCTGACGGAACTTTCCCGCGGAATTTCACACCACACAGTACTATTATACGTTTTGCCTTTCGTTGCCAAGCAAAGGTCGACATCCGAACCGTCGTCAGATGATTCGTAACAATCACAGACCAAACCAAAGGAAGGAACAAATTGTCGCTGAAGGGGTCCAGATACCGGCTGATGGCTCTCTTTATCAACAGCCACAAACGACGTAAACTTTGACACCACATTTGCTGACTTACTAACGCTGATTAACAAAGTTTTGTGGCCTCCATCTTCCACGCCGCCGTTATACCCTTCATTCAGGACATCCTGCTTTACCTGGATAAACGTTTTAGCCGCCAGGCGATGTAGGAAGACACTTGCGTTTGCTGCATCATCTGTCACACAAGTCGTCGGCAGGAGAGAAGTAGGAAAGCTGATCAAATGTTCAACTTTCTCATTATTTCCAAACATGCCTTGTAATCGTACTTTATTCATTCCTTGCTTTGCATTTTCTGAAGGCTTCAGAAGGCCATACACCACAAGTCTGTCACCACTGAAGAGCGGAGGAAGAGATGAAGGGATTTGCTGCACAGTCCAGCCTTCTGTTAGGTCCCAGGCTACGCTCACATCTGAGATAACTGGTTGAAGAGCTCGTTTCAGTGTCTTGATAACCTGAAATCAACATGTAAGTGCCATTTACTTGTTTCCATGCACTGATGTCAACCTTTTTACAAACTAATAATTCAAACATTATTTTAACTATCGTCTTCTTTACGAAGAAAAATGGTTGGGATTGATAATCTAACCATCGAAACACCTTTAAGCTACAGTCGACTCTCGCTTCGTTGCGGACACTTTGCTTTTATGGACAACCCCATCAGTACCTGAAGACCCAAAATGAGACCAAAACCTGCAACGTAAACCTCTAAGCCCGCCTATGAAAGTCCTCCTCTCTGGTCTGCTACACAGTAGCCTCCCACGCAGACGTTGTGCCTCTATATCAGAGATGGCAATTTTAGATATCACCAACTTGATCAACGTTCGTGTAGCAACGACTACGAGAACCTGCAGTGGGTGCAGTTGTAATCGAACCGACTGCCAAAGGGTTTCTCTTCCCTAATTGTTGCAGTAGTCTACCATCCTCACTGGACAGGGAAAAGAAATAATTCTATGCTTGATCATTTATTTCAATCCCTCCCAGTGGCTGAGTCAAGATACCCTTTTAGTATCCTTATTGTGGCGGATGACTTCAATCGTCTGGACGTCAGGTCGATCACGAAACACTTTCGACTTAAACAAATCGTGAAGAAACCAACCAAAAGAAATGCGGCAATCCTTGAATTGGCTCTTCCTAATCTGCATATTTGCTATGACGAACCACGTTCATTTCCGCCCTTTGGTGTCTCAGATCACAATATTGTTACAGCCGAGCCAAAGGTGAAGGACAACAGCCGCTGTTCTACAAAAATTTTACTAAAGGCGTTGAAAATCTTTAAGCGGAGGAGCTAGCTAATGCGATCAATGAGGCCTTCCTTGAGCCCTTATTTTAATAGTATTTATTTCATTATTTTGCCACACAGAATAAATTACAAGTAGATTAAAAAATAGGTTATTTAACATTAAATTTAAAATTAGCATACAGCTTGGAAGGAGTAACTGTGGCGGGCAAATCTCCGAGAAGCCAACGAGCTAATGAGGAATACAGATTTCCCCCCACGGGCGATTTAAATACTAGGCGGCATTTAAAAATGAAGAAAAAAGACGTGCATTTGAGTATGTAAGTGTGTTTAGAGAAAAAAAAATAGATATGAAGGGCTGCATCTTGTCTGACCCTTAACAACGGTTTGATCACACGCCTGAATATATTAAGAGTTGCGACGTTTATGATGTTGTTCGGTAAAGAATTCCATATTCTAGCACCTTGAAACAGGATCGAAAATTTTTTAATATTTGTTATACAGGTGTGAGGTCGGTAAAAGTCAGAGTATCTGGTTGAATGTTGATGAATTTGATTTCCAGTTTGAAAGATTTGAGTAAAAGAAATAGGTAAAGCATCATTATGATATAGGTACATGAAAGAACTTACTTGGAAATAGTATAGATACTAAAAACATCAAGATTTTTCAAATTTGCAAAAAGAGGTTTACTTGAACTTAGAGATAGCCCAGAATGTTCTTTTTTGTAGTAGGTAAATTCCTTGCAGGTTGGTGACATAAGTAGAGGCCCACATTAAATTGCAGTAAGATAGGATAAATAAACGCGTAATATAGTGTAAGAGGAGATTTTGAGGGCAAATAGTATTTAGCTTTTTAAATTAACCCAACAGATTTAGAAATCTTAGGAGTTACGTCTACCCCAACCGCTGGCTCAACTATCTGGGGACGAGGATTCAATGAAACTCACTGAAGTGTCTGACTAGCGTATTTTTAAGTTATTGGCGAAGCTTAATCCAACTAAAGCATGTGGTTCTAATGAGATCCCGAACTTGATGCTGAAGGAATGCGCTGAAATTCCTGGTTTTTTAATAAGCAGAATTAACAGCACCTCCCTTCAGGAACAGCGGCTTTCCCGCATGGAAGCTGGCTCATGTATCACCACTATCGAAAAAACTAGTGAAGGGCCTTAAAAGAGATCTAAGGCCCATCTCTCCGACACCTTTCTTGTCTAAGATCGCCCAGGACTGTCTTGTGACCGACTATGTCAAACCTGTGGGTCTCAAAGTTCTCAATTCTCAACCGCACGGCGCGGTTCCGAAGTCATCGGCTACGCAAGCTTTATTTGCATATAAATCATTGCTGTCTGGTTTCATTGGTTTCATGTGTACCGAGGGACTGGTACTCAAGCTGCACTCAGTACAATTGAAAGCAAGATGGCTGCCCGTGAGGGAAGGAGCTCGGCCATCTTACGGAAAAGGGGACTGTGAGCAGCGCACTTTACAACTAACATAGCGTCTTTTCTTAGGAAATGCAAAAGTCGTAAAAGCGTAAGATTTGAAAAGGCTCAATTTAAATTACGGAAAACGAACTTAAAAATTACAACTTTAAAATACGGTCGGTACAAAGAACATGACCTCACAAAGTTGCGCTAATAAAATGATTGTGGTTATATTCACCAATACTAGCAAGTGTTCTGTCTGCAAGCTTATGAACAACTAGTCCTCATTATTTGAATAATCTGTTCAGGTGTTCATGATATCTGGACTCCAACTGTAGCTGCTGCAAACGTTATGACTTCGTCGTATTTAATGGCTGCTGGTAGATTTTTCTTCATCCACTTTTTGCCTTTCTCTTGGACCATCTCCCATTCATCCTTCTTATTCCCGAACTTGCCCATCAACAGCACCAGAGCCAGAGCAGTGGCCCATAACAGCTTCCCTTCAGACGAGTCAACTGCAATCGCTGCTGGGCATCCTGTGATCAAAGAATCTTTGCTCGTTCCACACAGGGAGACCAGCTGGTCGGTGAGGTCCCAGGCTCCTGAGGCTTTCTGTAATGATATAACTGACAACAAAGCTGGGGCGTCTTCTTCTGGTTCTTTTTCTTGTTTGGTTATGTTATCGCGTTCCGCCTCTTCCAAGGCACAAGCAGCATAAGAGGATTGCCCTTGATCTTTTCCCTTTGGTCGCGACAACGATGCCCCGCTAAACAGTTTCGAGAAAAAGGAGCCTATAGAGTGCTTCAAACTCGTCTGTTTTTCAGTAGGGACTGGTCTACTTGCTCCGCTGACGGAACTTTTCCGCGGAATTTCACACCACACAGTACTATTATACGTTTTGCCTTTCGTTGCCAAGCAAAGGTCGTCATCCGAACCGTCGTCAGATGATTCGTAACAATCACAGACCAAACCAAAGGAAGGAACAAATTGTCGCTGAAGGGGTCCAGATACCTGCTGATGGCTCTCTTTATCAACAGCCACAAACGACGTAAACTTTGACACCACATTTGCTGACTTACTAACGCTGATTAACAAAGTTTTGTGGCCTCCATCTTCCACGCCGCCGTTATACCCTTCATTCAGGACATCCTGCTTTACTTGGATAAACGTTTTAGCTGCCAGGCGATGTAGGAAGACACTTGCGTTTGCTGCATCATCTGTCACACAAGTAGTCGGCAGGAGAGAAGTAGGAAAGGTGATCAAATGTTCAACTTTCTCATTATTTTGAAACATGCCTTGTAATCGTACTTTATTCATTCCTTGCTTTGCATTTTCTGAAGGCTTCAGAAGGCCATACACCACAAGTCTGTCACCACTGAAGAGCGGAGGAAGAGATGAAGGGACCTGCTGCACAGTCCAGCCTTCTGTTAGGTCCCAGGCTACTCTCACATCTGAGATAACTGGTTGAAGAGCTCGTTTCAGTGTCTTGATAACCTGAAATCAACATGTAAGTGCCATTTACTTGTTTCCATGCACTGATGTCAACCTTTTTACAATTTAATAATTCAAACATAATTTTAACTATCGTCTTGTTTACGAAGAAAAATGGCTGGGATTGATAATCTAACCATCGAAAGACCTTTAAAGTACAGTCGACTCTCGCTTCGTTGCGGACACTTCGCTTTTATGGACAACCCCATCAGTACCTGAAGACCCAAAATGAGACCAAAACCTGCAACTTAAACCTCTAAGACCACCAATGAAAGTCCTCCTCTCTGATCTGCTACACAGTAGCCTCCCACGCAGACGTTGTGCCTCTATATCAGAGATGGCAATTTTAGATATCAACAACTTGATCAACGTTCGTGTAGCAACGACTACGAGAACCTACAGTGGGTGCAGTTGTAATCGAACCGACTGCCAAAGGGTTTCTCTTCCCTAATCGTTGCAGTAGTCTACCAGCCTCACTGGACAGGGAAAGAAAATGATTCTATACTTGATCATTTATTTCAATCCCTCCCAGCGGCTGAGTCAAGATACCCTTATAGTGTCCTTATTGTGGCGGATGACTTCAATCGTCTGGACATCAGGTCGATCACGAAACACTTTCGACTTAAACAAACCGTGAAGAAACCAACCAGAAGCAATGCGGCAATCCTTGACTTGGCTCTTACTAATCTGCATATTTACTATGAGGAAAGACGTTTATTTCCGCCCTTTGGTGTCTCAGATGACAATATTAGGGCCATTTATACGAGGAAAAATAAGACGCGTCTTACATAAGACGCGAACTTTCCGTATAAACGGCACATTTCGTCTAAAATAAGACGCGGCTTAGCTAAGACGCGTCTTATTAGATAAGACATGCTCGTATAAATGGTACAGTTTGCGTCATATTTAAGACGCGTCTTATGTAAGACGCGTCTTATTTTTGCTCGTATAAATGGCCCTATTGTTACAGCCGAGCCAAAGGTGGAGGACAACAGCCCCTGTTCTACAAAAATTTTACTAAAGCGCGATAGGCTGGTCAGTCGTAGAACTGAATTTTGCAGGTATCTCAGCGTTGTAGACTGGTCGTCCCGTTTTCCCCCATTGAAAACTGCGAGGATACCTTTAACGTTTTCCACTCGGTTCTACGCACAGGTCTCGACCTATTGATGCCAATTAGAAGTGTTCGAGCAAACACATCTGATGCCCCTGACCCAACATTTGAAATCACTGATTCTGAAAAAGTAAAAGGCTTTTCACAAGAACGACGCTGGGTCACCGCCGTACAAGTTTTACAGAAACGTTGTGAACCGTGAACGAAAGGGATATAAAGCTAACTTTTATAAGTGTTAAGTTGAACATACGAAAGAGGAAAACCTTAAGATATGGTAGAAAGAAGTCAAGCGGCTGTGTGGAGCGCAAAGCTTCTTGGAGAACGTGACCAGCCAAATACAGGTAGAAGGCTTTGAAAATCTTTAAGCGGAGGAGCTAGCTAATGCGATCAACGAGGCCTTCCTTGAGCCCTTATTTTATATTAATTATTTTATTATTTTGCCACACAGGATAAATTACAAGTAGAATAAAAAAAAAGGTTATTTAACAGTAACTTTAAAATTAGCATACAGCTTGGAAGGAGTGACTGTGGCGGGGAAATCTCCGAGAAGCCAACGGGCTTATGACGAATAGAGATTTCCCCCTCCGGCAATTTAAATACTAGGCGGCATTTAAAAATGAAGAAAAGAGACGTGCATTTGAGTATGTAAGTGTGTTTAGAGGAAAAAAATAGATATGAAGGGTTGCATCTTGTCTGACCCTTAAGAATGCCTTGATCACACGCCTGAATATGTTAAGAGTGGGGGCGTTTATGATATTGTTCGGTAAAGAATTCCATATTCTAGGACCTTGAAACAGGATCGAAAATTTTATAAAATTTGTTCTACAGGTATGAGGTCGGTAAAAGTCAGAGTTTCTGGTTGAATATTGCTGAATTTGATTTCCAGTTTGAAAGATTTGAGTAGAAGAAATAGGAAAGGCCTCATTATGATATAGGTACATGAAACAACTTACTTGGAAAGAGTAAAGGTACTAAAAACATCAAGATTTTTCAAATTTGCAAAAAGAGGTTTACTTGAACTTAGAGATCGCCTGGAATGTTCTTTTTTGTAGTAGGTAAAATCGTTGCGGGTTGGTGACATAAGTAGAGGCCCAAATTAAATTGCAGTAAGATATGGATAAATAAACGCATGATATAGTGTAAGAAGAGATTTTGAGGGCAAATAGTATTTAGCTTTATAAAGTAACCCGACAGATTTAGAAATCTTAGCAGTATCGTCTACCCCAACCGCTGGCTCAACTAGCCGGGGACGAGGATTCAATGAAACTCACTGAAGTGTCTAACTTGCGTATTTATAAGTTATTGGCGAAGCTTAATCCAACTAAAGCATGTGGTTCTGATGAGATCCCGAACTTGATGCTGAAGGAATACGCTGAAATTCCTGGTTTTCCAATAAGCAGGATTAACAACACCTCCCTTCAGGAACAGCGGCTTTCCCGCTTATGGAAGCTGGCTCATGTATCACCACTATCGAAAAAACCAGTGAAGGACCTTAAAAGAGATCTAAGGCCCATCTCTCCGACACCTTGCTTGTCTAAAGTCGCCGGCAGGACTGTGTTGTGACCGACTATGTCAAACCTGCGGTTCTCAAATTTCTCGAGTCTCAACAGTAGGGCGCAGTTCCGAAGTAATCGACTACGCAAGCTTTATTTACATATAAATCATTGCTGGGCAAAGGAAACGGATGGCAACGGTGGTACCTTGAGAACTATACTAATTGATTACCGCAAAACCATTTGACTTAATCGAACATAAAATTCTTTTAACCCTTTGAGTCCCAATAGCCCGGGGGGTGGGGGGGGGGGG